GAGAAGCAGGCGCTGAGAAGGTCGACATTGTTGAGAAGGAATCCCAGGTCAACAAACCCCCGGAGAGAGAAAGTGAGACTCGACCCACAGCCGGGGGACGACGGACAAAGACTCAACAGTCTGTTTCTCAAGCTGCCTCACATTCAAACACTGTTGGCTTTCACACACACACACACACACACTTTCACACACTATTCATACTATATATAGAATATTCACTGCGCTAACAAGAGCATCTTGGTGCTGCCTCTTCACACAACCTGTCCTTTATGTGACGGAACGATGTGACTGCAGCAGATTTATATATTTATACTCTGGTTCCACGATAGAGGTCCGAACATCGACTGCAAATCAAGATCTACTTCCTTCCGTTCAAAAATCAAACCAAGATATTCCATTTTGTTAAATTTGTAATTAATCACTTAATATCTAATAACTGAAAACTATGGATTCACATCAGACTCACTTCTTCTAGTTGACTTTCAACAACAAACACATTTCTTGACACATCATTCAGCAGCTCTGGTCACACAATCACTTCCTGTTCGTTCAGAAACGTATCTTGTCACTGAGCTGATGAGCCGCTGGATTATTTCTCCCCCGAGAATCAAACCTTGATGGTTCGAACCCGGTTTGAATCTGATCACGTCAGAAGAGCAGCTGCAGCTTTCGACAGAATCTGTGGCCTCAGGACTCGTTTGATGGACCCACATTCACAGCTCCAGCACAAGTCTTTACCTGTCCGCAGGTTTTCCTAGAACAGCTTAATGCCACTGAGCGTGTGTGTGTGTGTGTGTGTGTGTGTGTGTCTTTGTGTGTTTGTGCACGCGCACACTGTCTCAGTCTCCGACCCAGTCAGCCTCTGTGGTGTCTGATAACCATCCTGCAGGCCAGCTGGATTTTTTTCCCTGTAAACCCAACCTCTCCTCCCATCGTCTCCACACACACACACACACACACACAGACACACACACACAGACACACACACACAGACACACACACACACACACACTCCTCTTGGCCCCAAGTTTTACCCAGAGACACATATGGCTGCAACACACACGCACTTCGAGTTACATAACAGAAAGTCTTTTGCAAAAGTCCATATTTTAAACTTTTCCTGTGTTTAAATAAAGTTTTTTAATCCACAAGAAAACTTGTTTGTGGTTTTAAGAAATAAAACCCATCTCCTCTGCAGCTCTTTCTTTACAGATCTCTTTAAATTGAATTTACAGTAAAGTCTGAATTCACTTCGTATCCTAACCCTCAGGATACGACTGAAGTAGGAGAAACAAAAGCACCGAGATATTCGAACCGATTTGGAGACGACTGAAAAGTAAATGATCTTGTTCAATCAGCACTTCTTAAGTTTCTGTGTTAACGCCAAACTGCTAATGCAAATAATGGTGGAAATAAAGGGCGTCCTTGTTCCGTTGCTCTCTGCAGCTTTAAAGAACAGTTTGTCTTTGTTTTCTGATGCAGCTCGTCTCAAACTTCAATCACGTTCAATTACACAAATCTTTATCTGCAGCTTTATTTCACTGCAGAACTGCACAGTGCCATCAACCTGGAGATAAAGGAGGCAAGGACGTTCTTACCTGTCTGACTTAAAGACAAGTTCGCCTGATCTTTCTGTGACTTGAACCTTCAGGCAGGACGTGTGTCTGCACGTGTTCATGTGAATTCACTCACACGCTCCCAAGATTTGAGCAGACGATCAGTAACGGAAGATCAATATTTGAGCAGAATGTGACTTTGAATCCTACAAACTCGTGTTTCATTAAATTTTACGATTCACACTCAATCTCCCAGATTTTGATTGAAATGAAGTGTGTGTGTTATAAAGCGAGCTGAGGGGTTCGGTCACACAACAGGAGGCTCTCATCTGCACACACACCCCTCCCCCCCTCCTATAAATACACCTGGAATCTGAGGGCACACTGGGTCTTTTATTTTGAAGCAACTCCAGGGGTTTTCTGCACCACCTCAAGTTTGAGAAGTTCAACAGGGTCGTCACTAAATGTTTGAAATGATGGAAAACCTCGTGGAGACGCTCTGATCGTTATCAGAAACACGAAGTATCTTTATTGAACGTTCCAGAACACTGAACTTGTAAAGAGTTGCTGAAATTTGTATTTCTATAAATCTGATTATCTTAATGTCAGTGAAATTTAAAGTATATAAAATACATGTGTCCCTCTGGTGAGATGTGACCTCGACTAAAATACTTCCTTAAAGGTTTAAATCTTTAAATCAAGCTGCTTGGTTTTGTCGATGAAAGTATTCAAAGAATCTACTCGTCATTTATCGACAAAAGTTATAAAAGGTTTTCAGTCTGGAGACTCTCATATGTGAGTTTGAGCCACAGTTATTTCTTTTCTATCGTACAAAAGAAAATAGTGTTTTCACTCTTTAGTTGAGGATTAGTAGAAGTAGTAATTCTTTGCAGCCCTGGATTTTATTGAGCATCAAAATCCATTTGCTCACATATTTAACACGCTTCATTGACTGACAACATCAATTTTCCATAAAGTCGCAGCTCAGAGCTTCGGTCTGAGACTAGACCCAGTCAGGTTTTATCCACTGATGAAACTTTTCCACAGTCTCTAGAAAATAAGTTTAGTTCATAAACTAAGTAAAAACATAACGAGTTTAAACGTCACATTCAAGACTTTCTCAATAAAACACGTTTCAATGAGGAGAAAAAGGGAGAGAGGAGGAAAATTAGAGTGAGATACAGTCAGACTTGCATCCTGGACCCCAAGGTTCAGGTTGTGAATGGAGACTCGGGCACCAGACACTACACTCCCCCCTCTCCCTCCCCCCTTCCCCCTCCTGTGAATTAAAAACGTCACCCACACACACACACACATACACACACTACTTCCTCTTCCATCAATCGATGAATCGATGAATCAGTCACTTACGTTGGTGTAGAGCACTGAGTCGATGTCTCCAGCCTCGGACAGCTCGCTGAGGTTCCTGTCCCAGTGGAGGAAGGTTTCACTGCTGTCCAGGATCTCCATGATTCCTCCACACACACACTCACTCACTCTCTCAGGTGGATGCAGTCGTTCCTCCAGCAGCAGAACGAGAAGAAGAAGTTTAGTTGTGAACTGGTCAAACTTGAAACTCCTGATGTCACTCCGGGAGAAATAAAGTTTCCAACAACTTGTCTGAGCAGAGGCAGGAAAATGAAATACAGATGTGGAGAGTCAGAGTGTCACAGCTGCAGCAGAGTCACACTTCTCCTTCTCCTCTTGTTGTTGTTGATCATCTCTCTCTCTCTCTCTGTGTCTCAGAGTCCACAGCCTCAGTTTCTCTCTTTCCTCCTCTCCCTCCTCCTCCTCCTCCTCTCAGCCCAGACACACAGGAATGTGTGGGAGGAGTCTCACACACACACACACACGTAGAGAATACACATTAAAAACACACAAACTTTCACTGGATCAATGCACGTGACAGATATTTATGAGCTATGAACAAAACACACTGAAAATTAAACCAGAGGAGAAAATATAAAGTGATTCAGCTGTTTGTGACACTGGCGTCAAGTTACTATATTTATACACGTTTCCGGGGTCTGATTTCAGAATAAATTACGTAACAAATACCACTACTAAAACTTTAATGACAACAAAAACTGCTACTGCTACTACTACTACTACTACTACTCCTATTTACAAACTAATATGAAAAGGAAAAGTTACCTAATGGACCTTTGATTAAGATTCTGTTTGACTTTATTTTATTTTTGAGATATTGTCTTTACACTTTTCTGTACATTTTTAATTTGAGTACTAACATTTCAAATCCAAACTTTAAATATAACTGATGCTGAGGTGACGCCATGTTCCTCATATATGTTTTAAATTAGATGTTTAAAGAAAAGTTTACTCTTGAAAGACTCCAAGAAAATATACCTGAAGTGACAAGAACCTAGTATGTTTATGAACGTGTGTTAAAGTAAAGCTTCATAAAGTTTGGATTTATTTATATTTATATTCCAGACTTTTATTTTCACCGTATTTCCGGTCTGTCTCTCTATGACGTCACTCTAACTTGACTGAATCCACAGGTTACACCCACCACAACTCAAAGCCCCGCCCACATATCTGAGGTCTGACAAATCAGATTTCTCCTCTGCTCGGATTCCGCGTGCAGCTCCGCCCCCCCCAGTGCAATCGACTGGCAAGTGACGGAGCCAATCAGGAGAGTGTTTGGATTTCCTGCGACCAATCAGCTTAGGCCAAGAATACCTTGGCGGAAAAAGTCCGGCCCCCGTTGTCATGGAAACAGCCAATCAACGGCGAGAAACTTAAAAATGAATAGAAATTCAATGACTTTAAAATGTGAGTTGATATTTATTGAACTTTCAAATACAAGTTCATGTGAATGAACGTAAATATTCGTCTTACAAATTATATTTCTGTGTTTTAAATGTTGATTGAATTATTGATTTGTAAATGAGTGTTTTGTAAAACCAGCTCCTGACACCAGGAAGTTAAATCAGCTGTTCGGACATCGTAGAAAAAGAAGCACAAAGAAAAACACTCAGAGACAAAAACCATGATGGAGAAATGAATCAGCAGAGTTGAGGTGAAGCAGACGACCAGGAAGGAAATGAAGAAACAGAAGAGTGTGATAAGAACTGAGAAGAAAAACAATAACACTCTGACAGGAAGAACCAAACTGTCTCGTCTGTGTATTAATGTGCAGCTCAGTGAAAACCACTGGAAGGTTCCTCCCTGAATTTGAATGAGTTTGTTTTTCTCTCTGCCGCTGAAACTGAATACCTGTGAGATATTTGCATGCGTCCTCGACACGACAGAACTAAACACGACCCACGTTTCTAAAATCCAGACCATCTGAGTCCTTCGAGACGTTTCATCGAAGCTGTCGTCACACGACGGAGCAGATTTATCTGATCTCACGCTCAAGTCATTTGTCCACGACTGAGCAGAGACTTGAAACATGCAAACTCAAAAAACAAACCCAGCACTGGTGGAAGATCTGCAGGAGGTTTATTTTTACTACCAGGTTGATGTGTAAGAAGAGTCTGGAGCCTTCGGAGAAAATAATTAATGCTGAAATGGGAAAATTACAAGTTGCCCCTTGAGGCAGTTTTCTTTCGTGTTTTTTATTTTATTTCTAAAACTCTGATCGAAATGAAAAACCGTAATAACTTTGTCTATGATGTTTAACACAAGTGAGACGTTCTCTTAGCAGAGTTACGACCTCATCTGTGAACATGATTTGGTCAAAGTCGCATCTCCATCGACTCAACTCCCATGATCCCACACTTCCTCACAACTTCATCACACCAGGGGTTTCCTTACCGTGTTGATTGAGAGACACCTAGTGGCTGAAGTTAAGTATTGTACATTTAATGAACTTATTTTTATGCCTCAGAACATTTTGTTTTTAACGTTAATGTACAAGCAGCACAATAAAAACCGTAAAGAGTGAGTGAATATATACAGATACAGCAAGAGGGAACTTTTCCCACTTCACTGAATGCATCGAAGTCTTCTTCTTCCACCAGCAGGGGGCGCAACAGTCAAACAGGACCTGCGTGTTACAGCTTATTCCGTCCCCTCAATGGGTTCCTTTACTCTGTAACATTCAGGTCCTCGGTCTCATATTCGTGTAAAGAAGAAAATACAAAATGAAGTTGTTTGGTAGTCGAGGAATCTTCAGATTCTTTCTCGCACGTTGTCGCTCAGGAAGATGATGTTGTCTGGAAACACAGGACGGAGACAAGTGTGTTTTTAACGAGAACACGCAGAGAGAAATGATTTGTGTGTGAGGACGAGTGTTTAATAATCCCACCTGCGATGATGGTGGTGGCCTGACGTCTGACTTGGTTCTTGTCCACGTACTCTCCGTAGTCCAGTTTCCCCTCGATGAGGATCCTGGACCTGAAAGAGAAAAGAATCGGGATCACGAAGATTGTTCTTCTGCCGTGAATCTGACAAAGTGAAATCTGACATTTTTTCAAAGACACACTTTTGTGTTCGGGCTCCTTGTTTTCTCAGAATCAACGTTTTCAACAGTCTGGATTTTAAAATGGGATTCTTACGTAGAGAACGTTTTCGTAAAAAGTTGGTGAACTTCCAGTTTAGATATTAAACAGACAACATTCTCTCTTCACTGTGTCACAGAACAAACCGTCGTATCACACATCTCTCCGTTATCCTCTGTCAGAGGAAGGTTTCTAACACAACTGTGAAGTGACTCTGAAAACTTCATGACCACAAGTTTCCTGTTGAGATCTGACTAGTGACATCACTTCCTGCATAATTAAATACAGGTTTGATATCATTCATAAGCTGTGTAGATGTGAGCACGTTAACAGAGAGGAGGAACTGACCCCTTCTTCACGTACTGGTAGGCCACGTCTCTCAGACCGGGTTTGAACACAGACACTCGGTGCCACGTCGTCTTCTGACTGATGTCACCTGGAAACAGGAAACAGCAGCAAATAAAGTCAGTCTCACTACAAGTGTCCGTCTCAGTGAAAATTCACAGTTCGCAGGTTTTTAAACACGATTTGAACATGAAGATTTGAAACTTCTGCTCTCTTTAATCTCCAGCTGTTGTCCGTCACACAGACCATGTGATAGTTATACTTTTTAATTAGGATGAAGAATATTTCATCAGAGCGTGAAAACTACAAATATCATGAGAGACAAATATCACCTTGTGTGTTTGTGCCAATTTAATTAACCTCGTTAATCAAATCACTAAAACTAACTCGGTATAAAGCAACAGTTCTACTAATAATCAACAATCTGAAGGTTGTAATGTTTCATTTGAATGTTTTAGAGAAATGAATGAAATCTTGATTTAATGTTACGAAGAGCAGCTGATTTACGATTCAGGGTGAAACAATGACCTCTAGTGGTTAAACACAACCCCTGCAATATTCTGCCATTTTAACAGAGCACAGTGTCCAAGAAGGGATGAAACGCACCCGTTGAGCTGACTTCACCGTCTCCAGAACGCCACATCTCGTTTGTTGCCAACGAGAAGATGGTGACGGGGTTACGACCCTCCACCTGTCTCATCACAGGGTCCTGACCGACCCGACCCAACAGCTGGACGCGGTTAATCGCTGGGAGAAAGAGGCACAATCGTGTTTAACCTGGTTTGACCCGTTCAATACTTTCTCCTTTAAATAAATTAAATATCACAAACACCATCGATTCTTTAGAGAAGAGAAAATGTTCTCACATCTCTCCAGGATGAGGCTGGTGTCTGTGCTCCTGTATCTCACCGCCTGTTGGAAGATCTGGAGGAAAGAGAGAACAATAGATTTTACTGAGTCTGTGAAGGTGAAACAGAACAAAGCTAAAATATATATATGTCTCATCAGATGCTTAAATTTTTGTTCAAATACTTTACTTAAGTTTAAAACATTAACAATAATAAACAATAAAACACAAGTGGAAATTACAAAAAGGTGTAATTAAAAAAAACAACAATGGACTCATCGTTACAGTTTTATTTTATTAATTATTCTATATTTTAAAAAAAAGCTTGATAATTGTTTTAACCACCTGCTCAGTTAGTTTTTTTTGCAACGTTTTGTAAAAGCACAGAAAAAGTTGAAATGTTGAATTTATGCATTGTTATTTATTCTGAATGAAACTTTTGTGGACGTGAAGCAGGACGTGTCCATCGTCTCTTCACCTGAGTGGTCGCACGTCTCAACATCTTCTCCGAGCTCCACAAACAGCAGCTGAGGAACTTTTTGCACTTTGAAGGATCTGAAGAGAAGAGAAGTTTACAGATTAAAAATCACTCTGACGCGTGTTTCTTTTCATTTCCATCAAGTTTTCATCCTCGTCTTTGTCGTAAACCTCAGAGAGGTGATTTACATCTTCAGACACTTGAGTAAAGAAATGATTCATCTCATAATTCAATCATCACAGACTCTTCTGTTAGTTTGAACACTCCAATATAAAGATCCTCTCATCATCTCCATGTTCTCGTTTCCTTTAAATAAAGTGTCCTCCATTAGAGAAGCAGCAGCAGCTCAACAAACAGATGTTAAACAAACTGAATCTCCAACATCTGGTTTTTGTTCTTGAAGCAACAACGAGGCTTCAGGAGCTTTTTCTCTCCCGCCACCGGATGTGGAGGAGAACCGCCGGTTAGACTGAGGTTTGGATGAAGCAGCAGCTGACGGAGGACGAACCGAAGAGACGAAGATGGAGAAGAGTTTAAATCTTATTTAACAAAAGTGAACGATTCAAAAAAAACTCACCAGGTGAAAGACTTCTGTAACCTCACGCTGCTTCCGGTCCGTCTGCGGGGACAGTCCGACGCTGCGCACACACAGTGATAAAAGTTCCGCCTTTGAAAACGTCAACGACATGAAACTTTAAAAATCTTAAAAAAAGTAAAATATCATAAAAT